CTACCGGAATTCTTCGCTTGGCTCCCCGCGGAGGACCTGCACTGCATATAGCTTGACATCATGGCATTTTCCTTCGTCATTGTCGTTATCGTCGTCTGCTGCTTTTTTCAGGTTAATGCTTCATTTGCGGCCAGAACGCCACAGCCGGGCGGGGCGGGTGCTCTCACCGGTCGTGCTACGCGCGGTAGTGAGTCGGGCAGTTCTCCCGCGTCCTTGCTGCCGCATGCCAGGTGCGACGGCCAGACTAAGTATGACACTTGTTGGGGGCCAGGTCCACGAAGGCACAGGTGGCTCGTAACGACGCTGGTGCTGCTAAAGCAAACGCACCGCTACTCATTTTACCATAGGAGAAACCCCACAAAGTCCAGCATGACTGGATCTGCTCAAAGATGACCCACATCGTGGCATGCAACACCTGGGACAAACTCCTAACTGGCAAGACGTGAAATGTTAAAGGTTTGACACAGGAACCTCAGGGGCTTCTTGTTTGGCTGACGTGCAGGTCACGGAGCAGTCCTTCTGTCCCGCACGATGCGCCACACGGGCTCCATATGCCATCGCCATTTGAAAAGAACGCTATCGCTCTTGCGGATGCTCCGGAGGGCAAGGATGGGTCAAACCAACTTGCCACGACCGTGTCATGCTCCGAGGCCCTGCACGGCGAAAATCACACAAGTGGCACATACGACAAGGCGGGTTGGGGTTCGTCTCCGGCTGTGCTGGCGAAGGAAGAGCAACGGCGTAGGAGCTGGACGCCGAAGCAGCCAGAGGCTAAGGGTACGAGCTACACAGATTCGAATAGTACCTTTGCACGCGGCCAACCGGACTGTTGCCGCCAGCTCCCGTTGCAACAGCCAACCAAGCAGCACCAGCAGCGCCAGTACCAGTCCTGCATCGATTCTGAAGGCGCACAACGGCAGGCAACGCCAAAGCATCCAGTTATGACGCGGCCCAACCTTTCTGTGAACATCTCATATGTCTCGCCGACGGTAATTACGGACATCTCCTCAGCCTCGACGGATCCACGACGCGCGGGCATGACAAGCAGCGTCGGTTCATTGCCAGCTGCCGCAATGGCGGACAACTTTACCCCTGCCCTTGCCTCCAGCTCACTTTCTCTGCCTGCTAATACAGATACCGAAGGAGCAAGGGGAGCGCTCACTGCTGCAGGAACCAATCTGGATCCTGTGTTAATCTCCTGTCTCCGCAGCCATGGAACCAGGGCCGGCCAGCAGCGGGCCAGGACGAGCACGCGTAGGTCTCTAAATGGCACATCGTCGGCCGACGGTGCCGGGTGTTTGAGCGGCCATGATAGCGGGCAACAGCCCGACGTGGAGTCTAACGATGAGGACTCACCGCATGTTCAGGACACTGCCTCCTCGGGCGGCCGCGGAGATGTCATCCGAAGCGCCGCGGCGGCGAATGCTTCACAATGGCCCCCCGCGTCAGCCCTGCCTCCGCCGTACCCACACTCGCAGCCGCGTGACCTGCAGCTACCAGTGCAATCGCCATTACGCCATCATGCGCGCACACGACGCAGCTCGTGGTGTGGGTATCCGCCGCCTTCGAGGCTTGTGCACAGGGGGGCTTCTGTCGAGCTCGGGCTGGAGCTTCAACCTGCATCTCGCAAAGGCCACCCTTCCGTTGGTCTGGCCCTTCCCCCGATAGACCTATCATCCTTAGAGGGCGTTTACCGGCTCATTCGTGCCGGTGCAGCAGCGCTTCCCATAATGCCCTCGGCAGGGGGCAGCTCAGCGGCCGAGCTGCCACAGCGACTCAGCCGTACTTTGTCTGACTCATACATGTTTACGGCCTCGGGTCAGGCGGTCGCAGTGGCAGCAGTTGCGGCAGCGGCGGCAGCGGCAGTGGCAACAACGGCGGCCCGCAAGCGGCGGAGCCGCGGGGGCATTGGCCGTGTCAGTGGTCGGCGCTCAAACGAGTTGGATCCAGCACTGCTGGAGACGCCCTTGAAGAGCCGCAAACAGCCGGTCCCGTATTCGAGCCCTCCGCCACAGCGCAGGCTAGTGGGCGCTATCCCGGGCTTCCAGTCAGCTGCGGAGGCTGCGACTGCAGCTGCGGCAACCAATGGAGGGCCCTACGCGCACGCTTTTTCCGCAGCAGCGTTTGCAGCGTCCACAGGAGCATGCCAGATGCCACAGGATTACACACTGAACCGATCCCGCTCCTGCATGCTTCCCGGCCCGGAGTCTAAATCGCTAAAAAGCTTAGAGGACCAGATGCTTCCCGTTCTACCCTCAGCCCACCTGCTCCTGCCGCCCCATCCACATCGTGGCCGGCGCCGGCGCGCATCTGCACCGCTACTACCATCATTCCCGTCAGTGCCACACAATAGCCCAGAGGACAATGATACACGAGCTGAAGTAGTGGAGCGATCAACGCCATGCGTTAAGCACAGCATGCCAAAGCGAATAAGCTTTGATGAAAAGGCACCAGCAAGTCGCAGCATGAACCTTGATCAGAGTCGGGGCGGCTGCGAGGCGCTGCTGCGGTCCGCAGCGCTGCGGTTGGAGGCCCACGGCAGCGCCACGGATGTGGTGGTATCCGTCGCGCCTGCAGCTTCGGTTCCGTTGAATGCCGTTGCCGTTGCTGGCGCAAAGATGCCGGTCAACGCGTCCGTCTCGTACACGAGGCCGGGGCCGCCACCCCCATCCAATGCCAGCCCGCGGTCTCCGTCTGTCTTGGACGATGGGGGCCCCTTTGCCGCAGCGGCCAAGTTTGCAGAAGTGTACGGATCCAGCTCACCGACAGCGGCGTTGGCCCCCAGTCACCAACTTGCTTCGCCATACCCGTCAATCCCTGCCGCATCCTCCAACGCCTCTCCGGCTGGCGGTGCTCCCGACCGCCCCCAGGGCCCACAGTCGCGCTCACCTCCACAGCCGCTGGCCATTAGTACACCGTCGCTACCGTACCGCCGGCCCCGGTATGCTACTGAGCTTCAGACCATATTGTCAGGCGCGCTGGACGATTGCAGCGGCGGGCCACCGCAGCCCCAGGCGGCACGGCGGCTAGATCCTAGCCTTAAGGCCGCATCTTTGCCGGTGCCCGCCGTCCCCGGAGTCGCTTTGCAGCACCGGCAGCCTTCGGACAATGTACTAACGACCGCGACAGCCTCAACATTGGGCCCGCTGGAGCCTTTGCCCAACAGCTCAAGCATTCGGAGCGTGCGAGGTTCAGTGAGCGCTGGCGGTGCTGCTCCCGCCGCCACCAGCGCGACGGCCGTGATTGCGCGCCTAGCAGGCACGACAAGCACCACAAATCCATCGTCGGGATCCGTAAGCCCGCAAGCGAGTGGCACCTGCTCAGGGCAGTCGTTGCCACCTGCCGGCATCGAACGCTCTCATGAGGGCAACGAGTCGTTGCCCACGCAGTGGCTGCCATCATTCATGGCTAGGTCCCAAAGCTACTCGGCACGCCAGGCAACACGCATGGGGATGTCAACGTCGCTGGCTCGCAACGACTCCGGCGTGAACCCCGCACGAAGTACGGCTTCACAGCTGCAACGGGCTTCTGGGCCTTTCGCCATCCCTGCTGCTGCCGCTGTAGCCAGCGGAGGCATTGGTAACGGAAGCCCTTCCCTGATTGGATCATCCAGCACTTCCAGCATGCCCGGGTCCAGGCCCGGCTCTGGCTCGCTTGGGTTTCAACTGGCCAGGCGCAATCAGCCAATGGCATCGATGCTGTCCCGCGCTGCCAGCTTCGCCCTTCGGCGACTGCAAGCGTCAGGTCAGGCACAACTCTCACTGCAGGCTGTGGCCCCCTCTCCTTCGGGCTCAGAGCCACTTGGGAATTCCCCGAGCCAAGTTGGGGCTGCCGTCTCACCTGCCGTCTCACCTGTGGCTGCCGGCATGGCACACTACACCTCTGCAACCGGTTCGCCACTGAACGCGAGCACGGCGTTGTCTTCTGCCGTAGCTACAGTCACCGCAAGCGATCAAAGCGGCCCTGACCATAACACTTCCTGGGCAACCTCGACCATGCACAGTATGACCGATAAAAGCGCCACCACCATGCCCACGTATTCGGGCATGGGCAGTCTGTTGGTGAACACCACGTTGGATATGCCGTACGGGCAGCCCTCCAATTCGAAGGCGCAACCTCAACCGCAACAACAATTGCAGCAACTGCAGGAACAGCAACAACAGGCGCTGCAACAGCAGCAACTCGGTGGGGAACACCCAGTCTCTGCGGTAGCGGGAGCTGATGGGGACCAATTCAAGCGTACGTCGCCTACAGAAACGCACCCGCAGGTACCGCAGCGGCAGCAGCAGTTGCAGAAGCAAGTGACACCGAAGTGGCAGCCCCCATCGCTGCCTCTGCCGCAGGAGGATTCACCGACGCACGGGGGCAGTAACAGCACGCTCAACGGCCCGGGTCGGGATTTTGCAACTGCCTCACCGATTGTGCGGGGAACGCCACGTAAAGCGGAGGCTCCGAACACGCATTCTATAGGGAAAGTCCTGCCGGAGCCGGCGCTGGCGGTGTCGCAGGCTCGTACGGCCGCTGACGTGTCTGGCTCTGGACCTATGTCACCCTTCAACGACGATACCGCGGCTGCGGCAGCATGGGCTGCAGCCGCTGCTGTTGCGATGGGCCTTGATGGAACTCCGGTAAAGGACAGCGCCGAGAGCAGTAGCGCGGAGAAGCCGCACCAGGTGCTATCGCCGCGTGACGGTGTCGACTCGTGGAGCGGCAGCGGTGGGTCCCGCACTCCATGGGCCAGGTCGCGGAGCAACTTGCAAAGATCGACCGGTCCATCCCCGCGGCCGATGCGGTCGGGACAGCAGCTGTCGCAACAACAGCAGCCCCAAGCACGGCTGCAGTTGCCCCTTAGGCAGAAGACAGCTGATTTGGACCAGCAGCAGCAGGCAGCACAGCAAATGCATCCGCAGGTGGTGCAGCAAGGCCAGCAGCAGCAGGCGGTCCAGCAGCCATCGGTGGCACAGGAACAGATGCTGCTGGTTCCGGCCAGAAGCGTAGATATGGATTTGGATCCCAACGAGATCCACATCTTTCGCGACGGCCTACTGGGTCAAGGTGCCTATGGTGCTGTCTACCGTGGCGTGTACCGGCAGGACATGGTGGCAGTCAAGCTGATCAATGGCTCCATCGTTGATGGCCGGGCGCTGCAGCGCGACATGGAGTCCTTCCACGCGGAGCTGTCCATCCTCAGCCGCCTACGGCATAAGTATGTGTTCATGATCCGTGACAATGATCGTTGCTAGCAAGTGCATTTACGGTGTAGTTTGCCGTCCGCAGCGATAACTTCTCTGGATCCAATCTAAAATAATCTACCGCTGCAGATCAGCGGAACATACTGTCAGCTGACCGCTTATGTTTATATCCCTAGGTTCCTGATACATAGCAAGCGTGCGATGAGTTGTGCCGGAGTTGACTTCCTAACACGCAGGACCCCACGGATCTCGCCCCTGCAGGAACATCGTCCGTGTGTACGGCGGATGCCTGCGGCCGCCGTGCATTTTCCTTGTCATGCAGCTTATGCAACAAAGCCTGGACTCGGTCATCCATCACGGCCAACGGCACCTGACGCTGCGCCGTGCGCTGCAGCTGGCACGTGACGTGGCGGCAGGGCTATCGTACCTGCACCCCACCATAGTACACCGCGACCTCAAGCCCGCCAACATCCTGATTGATGAGAGCGGGACAGCCAAGATTTCTGATTTCGGGCTTGCGCGTTACAAGTATAAGGCGTATCTGTCCACTCGGACCCCAGACCAAGGCAGTGTAGCTTATATGGCTCCTGGTACGTATATAACGGTCGTCTTTGTGTGGAAATGTTTTGTACAGCAGAGGGGCCTGACTGACGTGACAGCGTGTCCTCTTATTAATCGCCTTAGGTAAGGGCTGCGGGCAGCGTGGTGTTTGGGCCTTGAGTCCAGCTGTCGTTTAGCTAGGCATAGGGGCAAGTTACACGAAATCCTCATTTTATACCAGTGCTGACTATGTGGGTTTAACTTTTTCATCCTACCTGCAGAGTGCTTCAACACGGACATAGGTGGTTTAGGGCCTAAGACAGGTAAGAAGCTCTGGGTACGTTGGGTTAGGCTTGGTTGGAATGCGCCTTGGCCAGTTAATTTGGTTGCTTTGATTGGTGCTAAAAACAAACGCTGCCTTTCGATTAAGTGATTTCGATTATGTTGGGCATGGGCGAGCTGGGTTGGACCTTTGTTGAATCTTTGCAAACTGTTGGAGCGGATTCCCTGCCGTGATTAGGTTTGTTTTTGATAGTTAGGGGCAAAGGGTGATTTGCTGCCGCTCAAGCGCTGCGCTCCATCGCAAAACTCTTTCGTCACACCCACTGCAGATATCTACAGCTTTGGTGTTCTGCTATGGGAGTTGCTATCAGGCGAATACCCCTGGATGGGCGAAAGTAACGTGCAGATTATTTACAAGTGAGTTCACATGGTTAACTTCATGTGTGACAAATAGACTGGTCAACAGTCTATGCCGCCTCTTGACCACGGAGGACATGATGAGAACATGTGCGGCCTGGTCGTTGTATATACTGACCCCGTACAGTCCTTCGCAATCTAACCTGCGAACAGTGCATTTAACCTGGTGCACTCCCCATCATAAAACATCACTATTGCCCACCATCTTGCCTGCACAATCTGTGTGATTATGTCCCCATCGCTCTCCAACCTGTGCTCGTCCATCTTTGCAGGGTCGCCATCAAGGGTGAACGCCTACCGCTGCCGCCCGCGGACGGCTCCCCGTTCATTGCCACTTCGCTCACCGGCGCCCCCAGCTATCGTTCAACCGCCAGCGCTGACAGCACGCAGGCGCTGATCGTCCCGGCCGCCATCCGGGACCTGATGAACGCGTGCTTTTCCCACCAGCCTAACGAACGCCCTGACACGCATACCGCGGTCTGCATCCTTGATACCATAATGATGGAGCTGGACAGCGGGAGGCTTGTGGTAGACCAGCCAGTCGGTGGCAGCCAGGGGGACTATGGTCGCGACAGCCCCGGCAGCTCCGACAGTCCCGTCAGCGGTAGTGGTGGTGCCCGTGACGGTGTTGCTGGTGAGAATTCTGGTGTTGAGGGCAGCGTTCGCATGGCTGGTGGCGGCGGCAGCGGTGGCAGTGACCAGGGGCCCGCTGCCGCTGGCAGCAGCTTGATTAGCAGCAAGGATGGGTCGGCGCGCAGGCCCAGTAACAACATTCACAGTTCGCGGGTTGGCGACAGTGGTGCGGTGGGAGACGGTGGATATGCAAGTAATGGTGAAGGCGGTCGAGTGGTCAACCAGGGCGCTGGTCAAGCATCAGCGACCGAGTCGGGCAAGGTACCTGGTGTCGCCCCTTGCATCCCGGAGCCACGCGGTTCGTCTGTTGCGGAAGGGGAATGCCTGATGGCGCCTGGGAACCAGCAGCAGCTGGCCACACCTTTTTCGAACCTTGATTTTTTGTTTGATTAGATCGTATGCGTCCTTTCAGATACGCATGGCATTGACCCTATAGAAGGCTCTCGTGAACAAACCTTGCTATCGTGAACCCATAAGCGACAGGGGAGTCCGCGTTGTGTGCGGTGAGACCATGCTTTACGAAGCCTGGTGTTATCAACCCCATTCCAGTATAGATACTTATTCGTCTGTTCCGCGCTGGATGAGGTGTTTGGCTTTGGTTTGTAACGGCTGAAAACACCCGGACCGACGGACAGGCACGGTGGACTTTTGGTAGTTACTTGACTCCACATAGGCACACAGAAGCCTTGTGCAGTGTATAGTCTGCATGGTTTACGTCGGTATAGATAGGCGTTCGTAGACGGAAAGTTCCGCACTCGGGCTTCAGGCATAGTGACCCGGCCGCATGCGCGGCTTGCACGCGTGGTGTTTTGTTTTACGTGACACTGAATCTTTGCGTGCCAAGCGTGTGTTGTGATCTGCAATACCGCTTTCTCTATTCCCTGGCGTTGAGAGGAGGGTTAGGGGGTAACGCGAGTGCAAAAATGAGGAACGACATCTGGTTTACATGAGTAGGGCGGTAGGCGTGATTTTTATGGTTTGCTTGCGAGGCGGGCATGCTTTTCCAGCATGCTTTCTATACTTCTCACTTCTGTGAAGTGCCTCCGCAGCAGCTGCGAATGGGGTGAATTGGTAAGCGAGGATGCTATTCGCGGGCGCTCATGTATGTTGCATGTATGTGGTACGGAGGCGCCTGCTGCATGCTAGTATGTTTGCGTGTGTACTGAAGCTATAATAAGATCTCCCGATTTTAACGGTTTGCACACGGAAATACTATGTTGACCGTACGGCACTGTCAAGCAAGTGGTCCAGCTAAACAAGACGCCGTGACGCTCATATGACACCTGAAATCATGTTCCGAGAGTTGGATCGGATGTTGGCGAACGTGTCAACGCTGGGTTAAGGCCTCTTCTTAACACGTGCGAAGGTTACATGCGGATGACGCTGCACGCACTTAGGGGAAAGATGCAGACAGCTTCAGTGGAAGAGACCAAACCTACGATGAAAAGGAAGGAGAGAGAAAGGTCGAGACGTTAACCCCTAGACTGCCCAGACTGCAGTCACTTGAAGTCATGTGGCTGGAGAGGGATTGGGAGAGTGGTTAAAAGTACCCCTCGTGTGGTGTAGGCACCTTGGCAGGGTTAGAATGAGATGCATATGCCGCTTTGAATGCACAAACAGAATGCTTTACTTTATTCTGTTTGTTTGCAATATCCGTCCCCATGGACGCGGAAATACAGTTGCCGTCGCTTCCACCGCTTTGGGCGTTCTGCGCGCTCCGAAGCCGGTCACCTGCACCACCAGAATTTGTCTCTTCGTGACACCTAAAAATAGTATTTAATACGATATAGAGACATACAGTTGTTTGCATATACTTTAAGATGGCTGCAGCTGTGTCCACGGTGCGCAATTAAGAGGCCTGCCGAACGCATAAGCGAGATGTATTGGTTAACCTAACCATAGATGAAACGACTGCAGGGCTGCCAGGGAATTCGCGCGCGGATTGGCCTCCGGCCGCTGCCCTTCCGCAGCTCGCCTCGCCTTTGCACAGTTCGCGTGCGGGCTGAGGGAGGTGCATCACCAGTGCCCGTGCCTGTATGGCCAAAGGATACGGAGACGACTCGCGATGTGTTTGCCTTCGCAGGCTCTGCGCCTGAGGTGAGTAGCTTTGCTGATTGTTATGTGTGCACGAAAATTGCTTGTGTTCGCATCGCAACGTCCAGCAAAATCCTTTCGACCCTATAGTATGTGACTGTATACCTTTTTAAGGCATGCAAGTAATAGACATAGCGCGCCATGTTTCTCTTGTGGAGGCGACGTGGTGGTAGAAGTGCGTAGGGGCAACGTTTCTGGTGTGAGCTTATCATTTCCTTAAATTATTATATTATATATGTTGTGTCGAGTGAGGGCAAGATAGAGTTCTTGGAGTGCAGACTGTTCGCGTAGGGCCTGGCGCCCCGTTGTGTGTTTTGCATGCCAGGGTGCAGCTTGCTTACCTTGTTCGTCGCTCTAGGGCTTCGTGTCAGATTATGTACGTCCCGGCAGCTGAATACGCGTGTTGCTGATGCCGTCTAAAGACGGCCATAAAGGCAAGTGCAAGCTCAAGCTGACCTTAAGCAATTTGGGTTAGGCCGGGAGCCGCTGCAGGCAGGAAAGGTGCGAGGACCGCGCTGCAGTCGAAAGGCTTACGATGGCAGTTGAGATTGGAGGTTGAAGAGACTATTTGCGACAGTTAATCAGCAACCCTTGAAATTTCCCACGGTTAAGGTTCCTCCGTGGGCCCCGGGCTTCTATACCCCATCCCGATGTTTTGTATGCCTCCCTTTCATTTGCAGCGTGTCAACGGGCGCGTTGCTATGATTGGGTTCGTGTCCATTCTTGCCCCAGAGCTGACTAAGAAGCAGCCAGTGCTGGAGCAGATTGGCGACAGCTGGTTTCCCATTATCCTTTTCAGCCTCACGATTACCTTTGCGTCGATCCTGCCAAAGATCGTATCCGGCACCTCTTTGAAGGAGCTTCATGCCGCAGCGACCGGAGAGAACATGAAGGGGCAGGGCCTGCAACAGGCCCTGATGTTTTTCGACACCAATACGGAGCTTTGGAGCGGACGCTTGGCTATGTTGGGTTTTGCCGGGCTGTTGCTAATTGAGGCGGTCAAGGGCGAGTCTTTCTTCTAAGTTATGAACGTTACGCAGCTGTCCTTCGGTTGAGTGGACTCTGACCTCAGTTTTGTCTTGAGAGGCCGGCGACCTTGCGGGTGTGATTTACCTAGGTAGGAGAGTGGATGCGATGGCAGGGGAAGTCTTTGCCGTCACCCATCGCCAGAACGTGTATTGATAATGTGGCAAGTAGCTAGCTGTGCATGGCGGACGGGTTATACGAACAAGGCCGTGGCAGTGTGACAAGGCTGTGGCAGTGTATATGTGGCCCGGACGAAGGCCTAGCTGTAAACCTTGCGGCGATTTCTGTAGACATTCAAGGCGTATTTGGGTGTTCGACGCATACATTCAGGTCATACATACAGATCAGCCATTACTGGTTTAACGCACACACCGATGCCCCGGGAGATCCCGGGATCGAGACCCGTCAAGGTCGAAAATCCTTCCAATGGTGGAAGGTAAAAGTGCCCCTATTCGACGGACGGTGGTGACCTGGGATAAAGTTGATCTGCGAGCTGATCAGGAATGGAGTGAACCGCCGTTGATTCGGCAGATTCCGTTGGATGCCGGTGGTTGGTGCTGAACCTGAGCGGTCCACTGACAAGGGTGACTGGATGAGGGTGCCCCGAAATACCGGGAAGGCAGGGTCTGCCGGGTAGCGGCCGCAGGGTGACCCCTGTCCCACACATCATTCAGCATTTTACAATTTCCTTGATGACAATGAACTTTGGAAAGGTAGGTCCCCACATGAAAAAAAGGCTGTTGCCCGAGTAGTACTTGGGCGCACTGCTTAAACGGATGGACAAATAGCAGTGTATATGAACGGTCGCCGTGTATTTACATAGCCGGTGTGTTGTGCCGTTTTAATACATGTGCCTGAAAAAAATGTACGGGGCGCAAAGCGTTCTAGAAACACCATTAACCATATGCCCATAAGCATCGAGGACAGTTCCCAACATGGGAAACGGATGTGACGCAATAGCAATACTGACTATCCACAAGCCCTCCTGCGCAACGTCCCCGTCGGCCTCGAATGCGACGGAGTACACCGGGATGTATCCCAGCAAAACACACTGTTCCCACGATGTCCACATATAGATCCATGGAAAAGCGATGCAACACTTGAACCCGCTTTCTGCAAGCAATCAGTTCTTTCCAAGTAAAACAAATACTCCCAAGATTTACTCACCGTGCAAACTGCTAATTAATACATCAATGAGCAATAATATTTCTTAGCACCACAGCTCCTATCCAAGCGACACTACCCGAACCACGCATACCATCCCCGCCCACATCCCGTTCACGCCCACATCCCCCACATACGCCGGCTGCACACGCACACACGTCCATTTTAAGTCCCTGGAACAAGCATAAACCAAACGACGAAGTCGGATAAGCGTTCAGAAAAAAGTGCCCGGAGAACCCCCACCATTCTGAGGCGCCCCAGCCTGAGGCCGCATCGGCTGATGTGTGGGCGGAGCCTGAGGCTTGCCAAACAGGTCCAGCGAAAGGTCATTTAGGGGATCCGCAGGTTTCTTCAAGCTGTAACCGCCAACGTGCGTCACCACTGGGGCCGCCAACGTGTTCGCCCAGCCACCCCCACTGGGGCCCACACCGAAGGGATTCGAGGCGGTCGCATTACCACTGGACATGGCCGATGCTCCGGCACCGAACGGGTTCGAGGGAGATGGCGCAGTAGGTGGGCTGTACACACCGGCTTGTAGCTGCGGCCCGGGAACACCTGGTGATCCAAATGGGTTTGCAAAGGCTGGTGTTGGGAGAGCTTGGTTGCCGGCGACAGTGTGCGCCGGTCCGGCTCCGGCAACAAAGTTGAGCCCGACGGGCATCTGGGAGCCGGCTGGGGTCTGTGGCGCGGACATCGGCGCAGGCGACTGCGGAAAAGCGTTCACATGCTGTGGCAGCAGTGGCGGCGGCGGGGCAAAGGATTGCGGCGGCGCAAAGGGCTGCGGCGAAGGCGCCAGTGGTTGCGGCACGTGCTGTGCAACCGTTGCTGCAGGGTTTGTGAAGGGGTTGAATGGTGCCGGTGGCACGGCGGGTGCTGTCACGGGCTCTGCCAGAGGCGCGGCTGCGGGCGGCGAGTATACAGCCGGTGTTGGGGTACCAAACGCGTTCCCTGCTTGGCCGAACGTGTGGTCGCTGTACGTACTGCCCTGAGGTGCCGAGGTAACCGGCGGCTGCATCGCCACCATGCCTGGCATACCCGCTGCGAGGGCCGCCGCTGCAGGATTCGCAAACGAGCTCGACGCCACCAAGCCCGGTGCCACAGGAGCAGCTGGCGGTGGTGGGAGCTGCGCCACAGCTGTCGCTGCTGTCGCTGCTGTCGCTGCTGGCACCAATGGCGGGGCAGCGGTCCCGAAATTCACGAAGGGGTCAAACGCCGGCGTCGCGGATACAGCTGATGCCGCTGTTGCGGGCGCAGTTGGCGCAGCTGTCGGCGGTTCACTGACTGTAAGTGTGTCGAACCCACCCAACAGATCCACCTCCGCTGGCGGCGTTGGGGGTGGTGGCTGCGGTGGCGACGCGGCCCCGCTGGGCTGCTCCTTGATGGGGCCTCCGACAATCAGCCGCGGGCCGCCTCCAGCTGCGTCCATCAGGGTCGTTTAAGGATTGGACGGAGCGCGAATCAGGAACGCTGCAAACACACTGCGAACAAGACAGTCCACGCGCTAACCAGACACCAGATACGTTCGAAACAAGCATACCTCTTGAAGCGACAGATCCGGCGCGGCCCAGCTTCCCGGTATCACCAGCGCTCTGTAGGTTAAAACGTTGGAACAATGGTTTGGAAAGGATAGAATACGCAAACAGCGTGTTCGGTCGGGAAAGACACTGTTGCGATGAAAGAAGCTTTTAGAGTGTGGCCCGAATGACTTTCGTGTCACGCATTCTCGTGTGTGGGGAGGGGGGAGACCAGGAAATGCTGTCATGTAGGCGGTTGGAAAGGGGCCGCGTAGAAGATGGGCGGCGAGCCCACGGCACGCAGCTGTGCCCATGCTTGTCCTCGTCAATGCGCCACGAGTCATGTTTCCCTCTCCCCTCGCCCTTCTCCCAACACACCTTCGGCGCGTCCTTGACGTACTCCTCCAACGCAGGTAGGAAGTCAGCCGGCAGCGGCTGTAAACAAGCGAACAAGGGACAACGCACAACTATGACGGGCGCAGCTGGCGTCGTACTGAGTGCACAATTTGGCTGCCAGATCTAGTGCCAAAACACCAGCTTCCAGGGCCAACAGAGCACGAGCAGCGGTCTGCAATCCTAATTCACAACACCCTGTAACAAAATACGAGGGCCTTTTGGAAAAGTGCGAAAGGGCCCGGACGCAATCTCCTACGCGGCCCGACTCACCTGCACGACAGGAAACTGCACAGCACCTTTTAGGGGCTGGATGCTGCCAATTGCGCTCACGAATGCGTTGAACCTGTCGTTCACGGCCAAGTTCTCCTTCACCAGCTCAACACCCTGGGCAAGTAACAAAGAGGACAAGTGCCGCAAAGGCGGCAAGACAACGTAGGGATCAGAGCCAAGGCCAGGGCTAGAGCAGGGTGAGGACAAAAGCCAGGGCCACGTACGAAGAAAGGGCGCCCTAGCTCGAGGTCGAAGGCAAAACGACTTAATTGTCCCGTTGGTATCCAACCGATTAGGCCGCAGTGCAACCGTGCACAGACATCCTACACATAGACTGCCATGAGCCCACGGCGGTCGCGGCCCGTCGCGGGACTGGGACTGGGACTGGGCCGCACATGCAACCAGGCACCTTAGGTGCCCCCGGACAGCACCCGGAACCTCACCTTGAGCGCATCGCCGCGGTCCATCTCAAAAATGCGGTCCACCAGATTCAAGATACCCTCGCAGACGACCTTATACACGGGCCGGATCTCTTTGAGGACCTGCAGGGTGAATCATCCACTGTGAATCAATCACTGAACATCTGAACTCCACACATGGCACCAGAAATCCAAAGACCAAACATGCCCTATATGTGCTTTTGAGAGGTTTGCCGGCCCAGCTGAGGGGCCCGGACGGCAGGCAGATGGCGGGGAACTGGAAATGCGATGAAGGCGACCTCAACGGTAAAGAGCATCAAGATGAAACGGTAGCAGGGTTGCAGGGAGAGGGATCTCTTCATGTCACCGCCCAGGAAACTGTTGCTTTACGTGGGGGAGCATGATGAGGAATGCAGCAACTTGGTGCCGGCTGAGGCCGAAGTCCCCTAAGGCTCGTTCATTGTCTCTTCGCAATGGTGCGCAGAGTTGGTGCTGTACTGCCCCATACTAAGCTCGCAGGGTTGTAAATTAAGAAACAATAGATATAGCGAAGGCTATTTAGGCAGAAGCGTGTACACAAACCATGGTTAATGGGGATGGTTGATATTGCGACAACCAACAAGGACCCACGGAACCCCCCTTGCAACCCCTGCCCGAGGAAACCCTCACCAGCGAGCAAGCTAGGAGCGCGATTTCGTTGTTCTGCGCAGCCCCCTCGGGTATGCAGCTCACAAGCTGGCGCAATAGGCGCTGCGCTGAGGGCAGATACTCCAGAAGCTCCGAGGCCGAGCAATTTCGGAGCTTTGACTCACGAGCATCTTGCTCGTGTTCCGGGTCAAAGCGCATCGCCCGGAAAAACGACAGGCGCTCGTCGAGGTACACGCTGTACACACGAATCCACGCGGAGTAATCCCACGTCTCCTTCGTGGTGTGATCCGCGAAGGAGTCCAGCCGCAGCATGCGGTGTCGTCCCGTGCGCTCCGCGTAGCGCAACAGCTCCTCTTGGAAGCTTGGCTCTGTCTCCCGCATAAGCCGGTGAAACACAGTAAGAGTCTTAAGGGTGACAAGCCAAGCCTTGGGATTCTCGTCTAGCCGTTTGACGAGACCATGAATAACGTAGTTCACGATTTGCCGCGGCGAAGTTGGCACGCAATTGATCTTCAGGGTGCGCACATGCTTCTCCTTGGGCACCACCTCGTCCTGCAGCGTCGCTTTGATGATGGCCACATCCAAAGCCGCGCTCTCCTCGCCTCGGATCTTAGCCATGCCAACTTCCATTTTATCGTTGATTATACCGATGATAGACTGAGTCTTGTACTTCGCCGCTTGCTTGCTTGCTGGATCCATTTCTCAAGTTCCTCTTTTTCGAACACTGAAAGTCAAGGGCACCTCAGGAAACTGCTAGGAGCTGCAGTCCAATTGTCGAAACCTTGCCAAACCCCGAGCAACGTAAATCACTACGAAGTAAGTGATAAAACTCTGCTTGCAAGGGAAAGATCGTTCTTCCTTTTCGCCGGTAGGGCTGTGAGGAGTGTTAATCACCTCCACAGGGTTACTGGCATCCCGGCTCTCCAGAAGGCCCGGAAAAAAAGCGACAAGCAAAACGCAGCAGAGGTGATCACAGTTATTCCTACACGGCTGGATAGTGATACACGTGTAGCAGAAAGTCGTTTGGATGGCAAGGCGACGGTCAAGGGATTCCTCAGTATCACGTTTCTCACAAGAAAATTGACTTCCTAATGTTCGGAGTGAAGCTTCTCACAGGGACCTTGCCAGCTTTCAGTGATGTACGAGACCGTAACTCGGGTACGTGAGGACAGTAACTGAGTCTCCGTCTGTGTCGTAAACATGGCCTCCGTCAGTTGGGTCTAACCAAACGGTATGTGCCAGCTAACTTATGTTCAGGTTTGCTGTAGTGAATCGCCGCGCGCAAAACCCGTCGGTTGCGCGATCACGCAACATACTGGACAACGGGGGATGAAGGAAAAAACGAAGCGTCACATGGCACAGCCGTATAAGAGATCTGCGGCAAAACGGAAGGGAGTACTTCCTGCTGTCCCGGGGGTCACCAGCGGGTGTTGCTTCAAAAAACAAGACACCATTTACTAACGCGCCATGCTATTGGACGAGACAGGTAAGGCAGCAGGACCGCAATAAGCGCATCAGACCGGACGGAAAAGGACAAAAAACACAACTGGCGCGAATGACATACATGATACTGTGCCACAAGTAAAGGACCAAAGCTGACCGAATAAAAAAACCACAAAAGTTAAAAAAACCACCTGCGTTGGTTTTATTGACGTCAGCCGCCTTCAATCACAAATACGATTGGGCCGGGGTAATGCCCGAGTCAAGGACGAGTACAGTATAACTGTATGTGGCGGCAGTTTATATATGTACATGTAACAAGGGTTAAGACCCAATATACGTGAATGAGCTCCGGACTGAGCCGCCAAAGAAAACACCAGTACCAGCACAGGCAGGCGCACTCGAGTTACTCAAGGAGTGGTTTTATAGGACGCAGCGCTTCTCTCGCTCTGAGCGTGTACGTAAATAGATCACTTGTGTTCAAGTGGCCCAGAAGCCTCCCACTCTGTAACAATTCAAAAGATCACTCCGAGTGAAGCGCTGTCAGGAATGCTTGGTGATGAAGAAACCAAGTCAAGCCCGAACAAGTTTTCTAACATTCGCTAAGAAGGGGCCTTCCGTCCGGTGGAGGAGGAAAGAAGCCTTCTTCCCACATGCAGCCCAACAAAATCATCAATCCAATCCTATAACCGACGCTTACAGAAAAGCGGCGCAGGTTTAGACACGATCATGCATGCAAGTTATGCAGTTGATAGCTGCCGCGACAGCCGTAACACACACAGCGCACACATACACAAAATGTACCACGACTATGCCAATAATGGCCCTACCACCTCATTGGGGCTTTCAGCAGGGCGAACAGGCTGTGAAGTCCCGTCTTGCCCTGCTGGCAGGCCCAATGAGTTGGTTGGATCGACCGCAGTCGTTAAATTTTTATTTTTGTCGAAGCTTGGAGGAACGAGCCCCTAGCAATTCACCTCAATTGCGTGTATGCAGGATCTGGGAGTCCCGGTGCCACCGTCCTAACTTAGTGACGAAGGACGTGCGCAGGGTCGGGTGAACCCAGGGCGCGAAGCACCCTAAGGGAGCTCTTCATGTAACCTGCTAAAAAGACACCCGCCCTGCCTGGCCACGCACCGGCAACCATCCTAACCAAAGGCCTGACCTCCTGTAAACCTTAGCTTGCACATATGGATGGATGGATAGATGAATTGATAACTCGTCGCATGCTTCTGACGAGGATTGCCTCCGACAGTGCACATAACGTTTGAGAGGCTGGAGGGGTTGCGAGTACATTACTGCGGTCCACTTAACTGTTACGAGACGGTAGACAGTAGACGTTAGACGTTTGACGTATGCAACATAAGGTGGGAACGATTTGAAATGAAGGGCAGGCAGTTGATCGCGTGACTACATGCCCGTTCTGTCTCTAGTACGGGCAGAAAGTGCAAGGCAAGGCGTAATTAGGACATCGGCGTAACAAGCGCAGAACAAACACAAAATGTGGAATGCTCAGTCTATTATGTCGTTTTTTAGGTGTAGTTGCCATACATCTGCAACTTCCGCAAGTCTTGTAGCGCCATTATTAGCCAGCAAGGAGCGATTTATTACTGCGCAGCCGCACCGCGCAGTTCAGTGGGTTGCGCGCGATCGCACCAGTCTTTTTCAAGATATCTTTGATCCCCATGGCAGTGCGGGTGCTGCGATATGATGCTCATTAAGCAGCCCCTCGCACAAATGTGTCCGGTCGTACTTCGCGAATAGAGACTCCGTACATCTCGTCCCAAAAGTCAGGAGCGAATTTTGCCGCGGAGATGCGCGCGTGCGATTCGCAAAATGCGCCTGTACAAATGTATATAAAATTTCTTGGCGGATGAGGACCAGGTGCGCCAGCGCGTTGCGCAGGTGAGCATGTTGGCCATTACAGAGACTTAAATGCTCGCAACAACGGTGGTACGACAGCAAGTGAACTCCAACATACCGAGCATCCGCGCAAATCAGTCTCTCTCTCTCAATACCATTTAACGTCTCTTCGCTAAGGTAGCGAGTAGAGACAACCAAGAGCCAGCCAAACTACACTGACCCGCAGTGGACAAGAAACAACGAAGCGTACCCAGATATGGAGAATGAGGTATAAAATCCTGTCCCTTATTTGCCAAGCTTTGCCCGTGTCAGCGGCACTGGGCCACAAGAGTGGTGTCGGCGGGTAGACCGGCCGAGAGAAGGCGCGACTGAGGGCGTTTCCCGCCTTCGTCGGGAGTTAAGCGAATAATAGCGTTCCTGTTATCTCAATTAGTGCCAGCCAGCCAGCTGAAGAGAAAAGCAAGCAAGCATACCTGGTCGTCCGACCCATTTAATAAGCAGCGACCGACGGACCAGTCGGACAAACCAGGAAGAGCGACAAGTCATCCATGCGGAATTAATTATCGCAACGAAGCGACGACAGAGCACCCGACCCAGAGCCGGGCCCAGTCCACCCCCATCTGACTTTCCGACCTTGTCCTTTTGACTTGCTCGTAGTGGGCACTGGCGAGGAACGCGATTGGAGGCGACGGGGAGGAGATGAATTTCCCAGACAGACCGGTGAGTGATTAGTTCGAGGGAAAGGCGGGGTGGCAGATGTCCCCTCTAGCGACGCAGTGACAATTGTTCCCTCTAGCGACGCGGTGGCAGAGGTTCCCTCTAGCGACGTGGTGGCAGAGGTCCCCTCCAGCGACGCAGTGGCAGATGTTTCCTCTAGCGACACGGTGGCAGATGTTCCCTCTAGTGGCGTCGGTGGCGGATGTTCCCTCTAGCGACGCGGTGGCAGATGTTCCCTCTAGCGACGCGGTGGCGGTTGTTCCCTCTAGCGACGCGGTGGCAGATGTTCCCCCTAGCGACGCAAAACCGAGACACCTAGTGATGCTGAGGTCGACCACCTTAGCAATTAGGAGGTAGACCATGGCGGGTTCTCTAAGCGTGTTACGGAGGCCTTTCCTCTTAGCGTTTCCTTCGGGAGCTGACCCCCCCTAGTGTTTTGGAGGCCGACCCTCCTAGCGAGTGGAGGTGACCCTCCTAGCGAGTTGGAGGTTGATCCCCCTAGCGGGTTGGAGGCCATTCCTCCTAGCGGGTTGGAGGCTGATCCTCCTAGCGAGTTGGAGGCTGACCCTCCTAGCGAGTTGAGGTGGATCCCCTAGCGAGTGGGAGGCTGATCCTCCTAGCGAGTTGGAGGCTGATCCCTCTAGCGAGTTGGAGGCCGATCCCCCTAGCGGGTTGGGGCTGATCCCCTAGCGGTGGGAGGCTGACCCTCCTAGCGATTGGGAGGCTGATCCTCCTAGCGATTGGGAGGCTGACCCTCCTAGCGATTGGGAGGCTGATCCTCCTAGCGATTGGGAGGCTGATCCTCCTAGCGATTGAGAGGCTGACCCTCCTAGCGATTGGGAGGCTGATCCCCCTAGCGATTGGGAGGCTGACCCTCCTAGCGATTGGGGGGCCAATCCTCCTAGCGATTGGGAGGCTGATCCTCCTAGCGATTGGGAGGCTGATCCTCCTAGCGATTGGGAGGCTGATCCTCCTAGTGATTGGGAGGCTGACCCTCCTAGCGATTGGAAGGCTGACCCTCCTAGCGATTGGAAGGCTGACCCTCCTAGCGATTGAGAGGCTGACCCTCCTAGCGATTGGGAGGCTGATTCCTCCTAGCGATTGGGAGGCCGACCCTCCTAGCGATTGGGAGGCTGATCCTCCTAGCGATTGGAAGGCTGATCCTCCTAGCGATTGGGAGGGGGATCCTCCTAGCGATTGGGAGGCTGACCCTCCTAGCGATTGGGAGGCTGATCCTCCTAGCGATTGGGAGGCTGATCCTCCTAGCGATTGGGAGGCGGATCCTCCTAGCGATTGGGAGGCGGATCCTCCTAGCGAGCGACACGGCACACAAGGC